ATGAACTAAAACGTTAACTGAGGGGATCTACACTAAAAGGATCACAGGTTGGTGATGACTGACTGACATGGGGAGGTCCTTGTCATTGGGGGGGGGAAGGGGGGTCCTCTGCATACTTCAGCACGTGAAAGGCATTGTGCAGATTCCCAATGCTTGATGTTGGTATCGAGTGCTGTGATGACTCTGCAGTGCCTTCTATTGGTCAAAACCAAAATACACTGATTTGTAGAACTTCAATATGCAAATTAGGAAACTGCAAACAATTAAGCAGTTACCTCAGTTTATCTGGCGTTTGTTCATAAAAAAGAAAGTTGTATTTGTATTCTATATTTGATGCACTATTATGTTATTTGTTTATGTTATGTATGTTTATACTTAAATAGTTTTCACCACATGCTTAAGGACAAGTGACCAAAGGTTAGCCCTTATTTAGAATATATGTCTGGAGAAATCAAGGTCTCTATGATACCTGCCTGGGTGAAGGAGGAGAGGCTGAGGGGTTGATATCTGACTGGGAGAAGTACAGGAAGAGGGGACAATACCTACCTGGGAAAAGGAGGACAGACAGAGGACAGAGAAGTCAATACTTGCCTGGGAGAAGCAGGACAGACAGGGTGGCAATACCTGCCTGGGAGAAGGAGGACAGGATAAGAGGTTGATACCTACCTGAGAGAAGGAGGACAGGCTGAGGGGTTGATACCTGTCTGGGAGAATTATAGGAAGAGTGGACCATACCTGCCTGGAAAAGGAGCACAGACAGAGGGGACAATACTTGCCTGGGAGGAGGACAGGCTGAGGAGTCAATATCTGCCTCCTGCTTCAGGGAGTAGACGGCTCTGCGCATACTCAGGTGCCCCGAGAAGTCTAGGCACAGGGGACAATGCATGCATCCCCAGTAACCTGCTCTAGTATGTAGCCCCTCTGAATACATACCCAGGTTGTGGCCACAAGCTCCTACCGGTTCTTAACTACCACCCCTTCAGCTCTTCCTCACAGGGATTCCCCAGCATCCTGGGAGAGATAAAGCAGTTGACTGGACCCCAGTCTCAAACACAATCCCTTCTGGACAATACACCTAGGGGAGAGGGGCAGTATTGACACAGGTATGCCTAATATTTACCTTGGTTTAAACTAGGGGACAGTTTGGGAGAAGGCTTCTTACTATTAATATGTAGATCAGGGCTGGATTCTCTGGGTTACAATGCTATTATTGTTAGGATTTCCATAGATTTCAATGGAGGAATTCTCTGCTCAGAGAATCCAGCTCACAGAACATCTACACAACGACTGGAGCAGGCTGTCTGTCTGTTTGTATGTCTGTCTGTCCTTTAGTGTCTTCGGTTTGGTTGAAAGTTGGTGAATTTAAAGTGACGGCTCTGATTTGCTTGAAATGTATTTACCTGGTAAAAACAAATTCCCAGATTTAATTAATAAAATGATGTACATTACCCTGCATCATACCATTGTGACTCTGCAAATCCCCCTTAACAATAAACTGACATTCCCGAGCTGGCACAGAGAGGGTTAATGCACATTTCACTGTTGGTGACGCACTTGTCATGGAGTCAGATTATTCCCACTGCTCCCCCCCCCTCCTGCCAACCCCCAGCGTGGTGGAAACACAATGCGATGATGTAACAGTCCTAACATGTTACAAGGCAGCTTTTAGCATTACATGGGCAGGCCTTCACCAGGGGGTGTGCCTTGACTGACAGCCCTCTCCACCAATCCCAGGTTCATAAAATCATCACATTTTCCCTGTTTGGAGGAGAAGGGGAGAGAACACATTGACAGTGTAACCAGGAGCCGGCTGTTTGAAGGCAAAGAATTACAATAGCTGACATGTCCCATACTCACACATTGTATCATAATAACCCAGAAACACACATTGTATATTTACAAATAAACTATAATGGAATATATAAACTATAATGGAATATATATAAAATAAATAAAAAATCATTGTCACCAATCAGGTCAGATCTCAAGTCACTGAAACATTAATACAGTGTGATCACTATTCTAGTAATAGCTAAACGTAACACTCAGTCAGTGAGATTGGATGCACGCTGGGAGATATGAAGGAGATCAGATGCATGCTGGGGGATATGGCGGAGATCGGATGCATGCTGGGAGATATGGCGGAGTTCGGATGCATGCTGGGAGATATGAAGGAGATCAGATGCATGCTGGGGGATATGGCGGAGATCGGATGCACGCTGGGGTATATGGCGGAGATCGGATGCATGCTGGGGGATATGGCGGAGATTGGATGCATGCTGGGGGATATGGCGGAGATCAGATGCATGCTGGGAGATATGGCGTAGATCGGATGCATGCTGGGGGATATGGCGGAGATCGGATGCATGCTGGGGGATATGGCGGAGATCGGATGCATGCTGGGAGATATGGCGGAGATCGGATGCATGCTGGGGGATATGGCAGAGATGCATGCTGGGGGATGCATGCTGGGGGATATGGCGTAGATCGGATGCATGCTGGGGGATATGGCGTAGATCGGATGCATGCTGGGGGATATGGCGGAGTTCGGATGCATGCTGGGAGATATAAAGGAGATCAGATGCATGTTGGGGGATATGGAGGAGATCAGATGCATGTTGGGGGATATGGAGGAGATCGGATGCATGCTGGGAGATATGGCGGAGATCGGATGCATGCTGGGATATATGGCGGAGATCGGATGCATGCTGGGAGATATGGCGGAGATCGGATGCATGCTGGGGGATATGGTGGAGATCGGATGCATGCTGGGGGATATGGCGGAGTTCGGATGCATGCTGGGAGATATGGCATAGATCGGATGCATGCTGGGGGATATGGCGGAGATCGGATGCATGCTGGGGGATATGGCGGAGATTGGATGCATGCTGGGAGATATGAAGGAGATCAGATGCATGCTGGGAGATATGGAGGAGATCAGATGCATGCTGGGAGATATGGCGGAGATTGGATGCAAAAAACACTTTTCATACCAGTGATTCATACAAAGTTTTTTAAGGGTAAATATTTTACATTTGTCTCATATATATGATTTTACTGTGTCTGTGAGCTGGCTGTACAGCTGTGGTGCATGGTTGGAGCGAATATCCAGGGCTTATGGTGCTAACCATCCACATTGCCACGATGCAGCCGATGACAGCTGGTGACAGCTGGTGATCTCCATTACTGCATTCTCCAAGGATCCACCACCGTCACCCGGGACGTTGGTCAATCTCTTCCCTAACTAGGCCCTACATACATAGATTACAACAATCGATCACACGTTTTGCACGTTTGGATCTTTAAGGATCATTGCAACCTCTCTAAAACGCTGAATAAAGAATAAAAATACATACTTTAAACGAAATAACTAAGAGCTCATTCTGCACAGGATCCAATGTCTGTACAGATAAATCTCGGCCTTTTGCCACCTTCTTGTAGAGTAAGCCCAGCATTTCATTTTACAGGTTTCTAGGCAAAGTAGCTCACCTCATCCTCCAAAACAAATGCCTCAACGCTTTCATTATTGCCTTTTCTTTCACACCATAAATCCCATGCTGTTCACATTGTTTCTTACATGAGAAACTAGACCACACAATTCCAGTGCAGATTCTAACCATCAAGCCAGCTCCGCTCCTGAAAAGTCATCCATGGATTAAAATTCCTTCTTACTTATTCCAACAAAGCTTGCAAATTTCTGTTTTCACACATTAAGGAATTGGCTTGTACTATATCAGCATTTTGTAGTTTTACCAGAAGACCAGCTAACTGCTTATTCTGGAACAGTGTCACAAGGTTGTCCAACTTCTCAGACAAATGTCAAAGAACCACTGTGGCCGCAATGTTTGTAGTTTATACAGGGTGGCACAAAATTCTAACAAGTTATTAACCGGTCAAATCCTGCATTTTGGCCTACCCTGTATGTCATACCAATGCCTTAGCACTAAGAGCCTACATTAAAATAAAATTGTGACTGTACTTCACTAATTTACCAACAGAAAACGCACATTTCCTACCAGTACTCAACCCAGTGCAATCAGCAGGTTCTGTTATGATTGGATAGTCCCCATAGTGAAGGTCTGGAGAAAGTTCAGCGCTTAGAAAGAAACCTTTCTCCTTAGTACACCACCACCATAGTCAGGGATTGTGTGAATTCTCCCGGCAGAATCCTGCCTTATAGTACAAAGCTTTTCCTACATACTGGCTGCTATTTACTGGCTGTCTGACAGTGATAGAAGATGTAATTTAACTGAATGGGACAATCCTTGGATATTCCATGAAGAATGTACATTTCCTTTTAGCTACTGTTTAACATTTCCAAATTAATTTAGAATACACACACGCGCACACACGCATGCATACATGTATCACGTGACTGACATGCAATACATAAAATCCATGATCTTATGATTGATGGGATTTTAAACATTTTCTGCCTGAATTTTATTCTAACAAAGAGCATGATTGCCACCTACTGGTGATGGACTCAGCCGAAAGCTGCCATGACACTAGGTGTTCTGAGAGATGTCGCCCCATCACATGGATTCATTCATAACCCAGAAAACCATCAAACAGACATTTAGGATAAAGGTGTTTAAATGTGGTTAATTAATTGCTCAAGAACTTGTTTCTCCTTCAGAACGATCCCAGATATTTTATCAAGCCCCACTGAGCTGCAAGTACGTATCTCAAACACAGTCAGAGCCTTTAATTATGGACGAAGTAATATGACAATGAGTCAGCTGGACTACAGAGCGTTGCTAAGATGGAGTAATCAGTAGGAACATTCCACTGGAGTCCAAGGTGATTGCTCTGCTTTTAGCTGCCCTAGAATCGCTGTCTACACATTTACTGTGTGTGAAAGACATAAGCCCGCTTTATATGGGAACGGCTAATTAAAACTAACTCTTGCCCAAAACATATTGCTCATTGTGACAGACTTGGCTGTGAGTTTTAGAATATGGTCGCCCAGCAGGTAAGTGGCCGAAACATAAGGAAAGATGAATCACAACACAAAAAATCTCCACGAAAGAGACAAGAAACAAGAAAAAATGTCTAAAAAAGGCTTAACTTTTCTCTCCCCTCAAATGAGTGGATTGGATCCGGATAAGTCATATATGGAAGGAATGCCCTCCAATACGGCAGATCTTATTGTAAAAATGTCCCAGATTCCACCAGAACGAGATGATCGAATACTCAAGAACTGTCTAGAGAAAGCATTGGAATCTCAACCGGAAAAATGTAAACTGGAAGTTAACAATATTATGATGGAGATTAGAAACACGTTGAGGAAGAAAGTCCAAGAGAAGGAAGACTGGCTGTCAAATTTAGACATAACCATACAAAAATATGACGAGACAGTTAAAAAGAAGATCGGGTAAGGAGAGCAGTAAAACTTGAGTACAGATCTAGAAGAAATAAACGGAGCCTCAGAGATAATCCATTATTCAGGACAAACTAGAAGCCTTTATGATTGAATTTATAAATTATTTTGGCGTCAACACAGCTGGATATAAAGAGATGGCACAGGACTATCAAACCGTTAGGTGTACATACATCAAAGCCACGAGACGTGATTATCTGCTGTGTGTCTACCAAGTTTAAGGAACAAATCATTAAAGCTGGACGTGACTCATCTTTTAAGCCACCTTTTGACCAAATAAAGATTTTTCCAGACCTTTCATTCCATATAGGTCTGAGAGACATCTTTATACAGATTTAACGAAGATCTTGAGAATAAATGTCATCAAGTATAAAGGGAGATTTACGGTTAAAATCATTATCTCCTATGACTGCAGTACAATTATATGTGACTCGGCAGACAAACTTAGAGGTTGGATAAAGTTTGTAGTGGTTGTTGTGAATTCACGATTTGTGATGTATATTTGTTTGTTTGTTTTTTTCTTCACACAGAGTTGTGTCGTCGCACAGTAATTGTGTTTGTTATTAGCTTGAGTACTTTCCTTGCACAGAACTATCTGACGACTGCCTGCTCTGCATTTTTTCAGAAATTTGAAGAAATAGGAGAGAAGTGTTTTTTGTTTTTCTTCTTTTTTTAAATATATATTATGATGTATCAGCACAATTGATAGATTGGAGGCATTTTGTTTCTCGCACAGAGCCGGGTGGTTACACACTAACTGTGTTTGTTTTTAGTTTGAGTATTTGCACAGAATTATTTGATGACTGGGTGCAGTATATATATTTTTTCCACAACTTTGAGAAAACGGGACGGAGGCATTTTCCGTCTTTCCTTTTTCTTATTTATTATGCCATTTTAGTACAATTGATAGATTAGGAGGTTTTTGTTTTCCGCAGAATGGCGTTTCAACGCGTTTTTAGAGTTGTGGTACGAGGAATTGCACACGCTATTTACAGAATGTATATGCTGCATACAACTCTGTTTAAGAAGAAAGTGGGAAGACTTCTCCCCTTCTGGATGATGAAATGTGATATAATGTAAATTTTATGAATACCTGTCAAGCAGGATGGTGTATTAACACGTAATAGATCGCATGGTATTGTTCACTGTAAAAACAGGAGAACTTATATAAGGTGAAGAAAAGGAGGAGAACTTATATAAGGTGAAGAAATTAGGAGTTATATTCTCCGGAACTATGAAATGTGATATAATAGAATTCTCATGATTGCACGTACAGTATTTTTGTATTTTCTTTTCTTTTTTTTCCTTATCTCTCCCTTCATAAGAAAATGATCTTCAAAGCCAAATTTCAGCTCTTGTTACCATTTTGAGGGGGTGGGGGGATTATTCCTGTGAATTAAATTGGGTGTTTTATTCACAAAAGTATATCTGCACTCATGAGAGAATTGTTTTTAGTGATTATTGTCATGTATGTACCCTTTTTGTATTTGTTGTTTGGGATGGCGAGCTCGAGGCACGAGGGGAAAAGATAGCATTGTTTCAGGAAGATGGTTAGTTTTACTACAATTAACATTCAGAGATTTAATAATCAATTCTGTTGGACTATCTAAAGAAACAAAGAATTTAAATCTGTAATTTACAGGAGACCCATTGGAGATTGATCGATAACATTAAGCTCAAATCCGATGTTTATACCTCTGTTCTCTCTGTATCTTTAGAACAACAAAGAAACAACAGGGGTTTCCTTACTGGCTTCCAAAATATTATTTAAAAAATTAATTTTATGGAGAAAGACGCAGATGGAAAATATTTTGTTATAATTTGTAAGATCAACAACAAACGAGAGACATTAGTCAATGTTTATACCTGTAATCATTCCCCTCTTTCATTTATTATACAAACCTTGAAAATCTAAAAAGTCGAACAAGGAGTTCTATTGCTGATGGGTGATTTCAATATGTAGCTAGAACCATAATTCGATAAAAAGGCAATGACGGAAGACATAAGAGACATGGGTCTAATTAGACAAGCCCACAGAGTTAGATCCCTGATGCAAAACCATTCACTGCTTGATATCTGGTGTATTTTTCATTCACCTGAATATACTATACTTGTTTTTCAAAGTTACATGCTACCTAGCCTTGTATTAATCTTATTTTAGGATAAATGAAATTACACGGTCAGATCATAACGCTGTAATATTGGTGTAACCCGACTGCTTACCTTCGCTAGTTCTCATCTCAGCCAGACTGGAACCGTTGTGTGATTTAGCTCGTATCCCCCCCAGTAACTAGACAAGACATAGTTCTGGGAGTCACCTGGTTTATTCAGGCCAAACACTCTCAATTTATACACAGACCCCAAACAGGGAGTCTAAATACAGAAACATAGCAAGCCACTCTCTGGCATCCCTGTGTCTGCAAGATAATTAAGTCTAACTATAACTCGATTATCTCTCAGTTACAGGGAAACATACATAGTATTTATAAAACTATCCCCGGATAGCCCTGATCTGAGAACCCAACGTGGCCAAATAGCGCTCAGATACATTTGAGAATAGTAGAATAGAATCGCCACCGGGGTAAACTTCTGACTGGCCGGCCATGAGGTGAAAGCCCAATATAGTTCCAGGGAAATGAGTGCAACGGCTGTTTGAGTGTTCCTGTGTGAACACCATACAAGATATTCCCTTGGTTTCAGGGAGAGATTACTCCCCCCAGTCGGTGGTTTCTATCTCCCGAACATCGTTCGAATAGCTGGTTGGGAAGTGGGAAGGGCAGCGGTACAATCTTTGATGGGGTTTGTGCGAGTGCATTGCCGAAAAGAGTGCCAGGCACTCAACAACATCTTTTTGTTGACCACGTGCGTTCGATTACACGAAATGGTGGCCACCCAGGAGAAGCATTCATTAGTTATTTCCTTTGCGGTTTCACACTTAGGTTAACTGGTGTAAAGGTTCTAATGCGGTACGGGGTGGTCCTCATTCGGGAGTCGAATGAGGACCACCCCATACCACATTAGTAAGCAAAGAGAAATAGTCAAAAGGAATGGTACATTCCCCCATGATTGGAAACATGGAATGATTTATAATATTGATAATCCAAGGCCAGATTGCAGATTAAAGGGACACTATAGTCACCAGAACAACTACAACTTAATGTATTTGTTCTGGTGAGTATAATCCTTCCCTTCAGGCCTTTTGCAGTAAACATGGTTTGTTTTAGAGAACATGCAGTGTTTACATTACAGCCTAGGGACAACTATTGTGGCCACTCCTCCCGTTTAGCGCTGAATTTTCCTCATTGATTCAATGCATCTCTATGAGGAGGTGCTGATTGCCCAAAGCGATGTTTGGCCCCGCCCCCATCCCGATTCCTTGACTATTTCAGCCAATCCAATGCTTTCCTAATGAGAAAGCATTGGATTGGCTAAAAATCGTAAATTCTGATGATGTCACCAAGGGGGTGGATAGGAGGTGGGGCCAGCACCGGGGGGACCCACGCGGCGCTGGAGAAAGGGTAAGTTTTAACCCATTCTAAGGGGGCTAAGGAAGCTTGTGTTCCTGACCATAAAGTGTTCCTTTAAATAAATATATTTTTGTGAGACCAGAAAATAGAGATCATATTTGAAATATGACAGAATATTATTAAGAGGAAATATTTGACAGGAAAAATCTCACCTTCTGTAGTCTGGTGTGCCTATAAGGCAGTAACACAGGGGTTATTGATCAATATTGGAATAAGAGATAAGAAACTTTCAGATCTTTATATATAGCTAAATGAATTGACTAGACGTAACAAATGATCTCCCACAGAGACCTTATCTAAACTTAAAAAACAAAATGAATTAATGATCAATAAATAAATAAAGCCAGTAAATCAAACCATGCAGTATTATAAAGGTAGAGCTAAAAGATTGCTATCTAATAAACTGAAAAATAAGAATAAAATAAATAGTATCTCAAAAATCATCTACGGAGATAAAGTTTACTTATTCACAGAAAAGGCCAGTAAGGCTTTTAATGACTATTGTTACAAGCTGTATACAGTTGCAAGAAAAAGTATGTGAACCCTTTGGAATGATATGGATTTCTGCACAAATTGGTCATAAAATGTGATCTGATCATCATCTAAGTCACAACAATAGACAATCACAGTCTGCTTAAACTAATAACACACAAAGAATGAAATGTTGCCATGTTTTTATTGAACACACCATGTAAACATTCACAGTGCAGGTGGAAAAAGTATGTGAACCCCTAGACTAATGACATCTCCAAGAGCTAATTGGAGTGAGATGTCAGCCAACTGGAGTCCAATCAATGAGATGAGATTGGAGGTGTTGGTTACAGCTGCCCTGCCCTATAAAAAACACACACCAGTTCTGGGTTTGCTTTTCACAAGAAGCATTGCCTGATGTGAATGATGCCTCGCACAAAAGAGCTCTCAGAAGACCTACGATTAAGAATTGTTGACTTGCATAAAGCTGGAAAGGGTTATAAAAGTATCTCCAAAAGCCTTGCTATTCATCAGTCCACGGTAAGACAAATTGTCTGTAAATGGAGAAAGTTCAGCACTGCTGCTACTCTCCCTAGGAGTGGCCGTCCTGTAAAGATGACTGCAAGAGCACAATGCAGACTGCTCAATGAGGTGAAGAAGAATCCTACAGTTTCAGCTAAAGACTTACAAACGTCACTGGCAAATGCTAACATCCCTGTTAGCGAATCTACAATACGTAAAACACTAAGCAAGAATGGATTTCATGGGAGGATACCACAGAGGAAGCCACTGCTGTCCACACAAAACATTGCTTCACGTTTACAGTTTGCACAAGAGCACCTGGATGTTCCACAGCAGTACTGGTAAAATTTTATGTGGACAGATGAAACCAAAGTTGAGTTGTTTGGAAGAAACACACAACACTATGTGTGGCGAAAAAATAGGCACAGCACACCAACATCAAAACCTCATCCCAACTGTGAAGTATGGTGGTGGGGGCATCATGGTTTGAGGCTGCTTTGCTGCGTCAGGGCCTGGACGGATTGCTATCATTGAAGGAAAAATGAATTCCCAAGTTTATCAAGACATTTTGCAGGAGAACTTAAGGCCATCTGTCTACCAGCTGAAGCTCAACAGAAGATGGGTGTTGCAACAGGACAATGACCCAAAGCATAGAAGTAAATCAACAACAGAATGGCTTAAACAGAAGAAAATACGCCTTCTGAAGTGGCACAGTCAGAGTCCTGACCTCAACCCGATTGAGATGCTGTGGCATGACCTCAAGAAAGGGATTCACACCAGACATCTCAAGAATATTGCTGAACTGAAACAGTTCTGTAAAGAGGAGTGGTCAAGAATTACTCCTGACCGTTGTGCACGTCTGATCTGCAACTACAGAAAACGTTTGGTTGAAGTTATTGCTGCCAAAGGAGGTTCAACCAGTTATTAAATCCAAGGGTTCACATACTTTTTCCATCTGCACTGTGAATGTTTACATGGTGTGTTCAATAAAAACATGGCAACATTTCATTCTTTGTGTGTTATTAGTTTAAGCAGACTGTGATTGTCTATTGTTGTGACTTAGATGATGATCAGATCACATTTTATGACCAATTTGTGCAGAAATCCATATCATTCCAAAGGGTTCACATACTTTTTCTTGCAACTGTAATTGACCTTTAACTCAAAAAAATCCAAAAGAGTTATTTAAAAATAGGTTCTTTCCAAAAATCTTCTCAATTTTCCTTGACAATCCAAAAAATGGCAAAACACCAGGCCCAGACAGGTTTGATTATAAATATATTTCTATTTAGTAAAAACTCATAATGGTTTTGCAAAGATTGCTGAGGAATTAATTAGGGGTAACATTGTTCCGATTATAAAAATTGGCAAGAATCCAGAAAGAGTTCATAGCTATCGTCCCAGATCACTTTCATATGTATGTATACATAATATGTGTTTGGGATTCCTGCAAGAAAGAATTAAGAAAGTGATTGGATATTGGACAGAGATCAAGTGGGGTTTGCTCCAAATAGATCCTCTACAAACCATATAAGAAACATTATTGATATATTTGAACAGGCTAGAAAACAGACTATCCTTATGATGACCCTGTCATTGGGTGCAGAGAAAGTATAGCCTTAAATAAATGTCCGCAAGGTAGAATCATCGGCTTGGGTATGAAATGTGTAAAAATATCACAAATGGTACACGACAGGGATGTCTATTATCCCCCATTACTATATGTGCTCTTAATTGAATCTTTGGCAATAAAAAGAAAGTCAGAAAAATAAATTATATGTCATTGGGTGCAGAGAAAGTATAGCCTTAAATAAATGTCCCCAAGGTAGAATCATCGGCTTGGGTATGAAATGTGTAAAAATATCACAAATGGTACACGACAGGGATGTCTATTATCCCCCATTACTATATGTGCTCTTAATTGAATCTTTGGCAATAAAAAGAAAGTCAGAAAAATAAATTATATGTCATTGGGTGCAGAGAAAGTATAGCCTTAAATAAATGTCCCCAAGGTAGAATCATCGGCTTGGGTATGAAATGTGTAAAAATATCACAAATGGTACACGACAGGGATGTCTATTATGCCCCATTACTATATGTGCTCTTAATTGAATCTTTGGCAATAAAAAGAAAGTCAGAAAAATAAATTATATGTAGACAACATCCTTTTGACCATTAAAAATCCCATTCATTCAATAGAGGAGATTATGAAGGTCACTGAGAATTATATCGTTTATGATACTATAAAAATAAATATAAGTTAAACCGGGTTAAAAAATATTTCCCTTACATGGATAGTAACGTTTTAAAAATTCCAGAGAAACGGATGGAACATAATTTGTTACCCTTGGTTAAAGCAATAAATCTAAAATTATGAAAACATCTTTGAAATTTTGTAAGAAAGATTAACTCAATTAAATATTAAATTATGACAAACCTAATCTACACTTTAAGAATGATTCTGCTGAAGATCCCCAGAGCTGCATTGGACTTATGCAAATCTCTCTTGCAAAATGTATATGGTCAGGCAAGAAACTCAGAATAAATTGTGATGTAATGGTTTAAAGAGACGATGGAGGCTCTGGGATCCCTATCCTCCACAAAGCTGCACTGTCATACTTATTGGTTTGCGCATAAATAATTAATAAAAACAATTGTATGGAGTGATTCCCTATATAAAAAAGCCCTTAGAGTGAGTTTGTGGTCAGTCAGAGGGGAAGATGTACAAACTATTAAGAGCTCTAATTGTTTAGTAAATAAGCACATATGAATCTTGGTTTTCATTTAGGAATCAAGATTGGTCTGAAGGAGAAGATAATTCCGGTTTTGCCGCTTAATATATTGGTTAGCTTAATAGAGGAAATAGACTTGGAGATTTGGATTAATAAGGTAGTGGAAAGGATTTCCAATTTGATAGACAGGAATATATTTAAATATTTTGCTTAAATACAAGGGGAATTTAACGTACCAGCCACCGAATAGCATAATTATATAAAAATGACAATGTTTTTAAAAATCATGTTTGATGTTCAATATCTCCTCAGTTCCAATCAGTATGTGGACAAATCTGATGGAACAAGCAGATAATAACTTACTGTCAAAATGCCAGAGGTCACCGTATAAATTTAAGACAAAATCATCACCATCTGCTATAGCAAATTGGAACCATGATTTGGGAGAAAATACAGGCTGGACCACATATCAGAGTAGGGTCTGAGGAGTCAATAACTTTTTTTATTAATAAACCAATGTCAATGATATTACATATAACGAATGCTTAACGTGCGGAGATTTGCTTGACTAGATATGGAAGATGACATCTTTTGAATGAGCCTTTCCAATTCAGGCTCTTTCTATTGTGTTGTTCATCAGTTAATGTTTGAGGCTCTAGTGCCCTAAATGATTTAGCTCTGCGTGGCAAGGCTTAGTACAATAGAGCTAATAGAAGCTCTGTGCAGGATCTTCTGGCTTTCAGTGGAGAAGAAGACCCCAGGTAATTTGTTAAATCATTAGCAAACAGTATGACCACTTACTTTGGGGACTGTAGTGGTTATGGTGCTTGGAGTGTTCCTTTGTATGATTATTTGTTGTGTAATATCACATTATATCGAATTGTTAATTGACAGAAAGCTTGTTTCCTATTTACAGTTCCTTGTATCTTGTGATGATGTTTTATAATGATACATCAGGTTTAAAAGGCTGGCAATCACCAGAGCCAGTCTAGCAGTACACAAGACCGCTTGCCTCTCTATTAATGCATTCGTTCGCTTTCTGTGCCTGTGAAAAGAGAGACGGCACTGCCAAATCCCTCCGGCAATATCCCAAGGCAAACATACTTTTAGCCGGCCAAGTAACAACTCACCTGCACGCCCTCCCGGCCCATCCTTAGTGCCACAGGCTTGAGAACTCCTGCGGGAAGGATTCAGGGTAATTCATTTGTTAACCCCTCTGCAGCATTTTTGCATTTAACTGTATCCCAAACTCCCATTATCGACTGATGGTGTCATCACAGTGCCAGGCTGCTGGAGTTTTATATCTCTTTCATTCATTCCTTCCATCCATGCATGTCAGGACCTTCATAGCTCGTGAAGCACGATTGCACAGGAAGGATGTGATCATTTTTGGCTTGGCTGGTTGTTGCAGTGGTGACAAAGATTAGAAAGCAGATGAAGTGGTACTATAGGATGCAATAGTGTTGCTCAGTGCAATCTGTGGTGGCCACCCTGATGGAAAGAGGAGTTCTGCCACCAGAGATGTTCTTTTCCCCCTACTGGGAGGGATGCTGTAATGCAGCTGATACAAGAGCTAGTGATTTAGCACTCCAAGCAGAAGGGAGACAGCTGTATAGCTTTCTCCCACAAACATGAGATGAGGCTGTATGCTGTGGGAGTTTGTGGTCAGTTAGAAGGGAAGATGTACAAACTTATTGGTAGCCACAACTGGCCTTATATCACAACTGGCCTTATATGCAGGTTCCCATGCAAGGGGCACTCCCCTCTGCACCTGAGAGTAGACTACATTAAAAACATACACACAATTACATTGGCTCTTAGGTCCAGGACACTCCCACATAAAACAAGATAATCCCTCCCCTGTGCCAGGGAGATAATTGAGTCAGGAACTGTATTAACTCAATTATTTCAAGGCACAGAGAACACACATTTTAGCAGTACCCAAAAAGTACCACCATAACCCATGAAAACCCCACAAAAGTTACACAGCCCCGATCTGGTTGACCAACATATCCAAAAATCACCCAAATTGGTTCAGGGGTTCGGGATTTCCATGGAGGTCTTATTTTGACTGACCGCACACAAGGGTTCTGCCCAAAAGAGTTCCATGAAATCAGGCTGTGCGGTTCGTCGGTAGATTCAGTCTATGCTCCCACCGAACGCCTTTCAATTCCCATATGTTTAGACGAACTTCGATGGAATGGACTTTTTAGCGGTGTTCGTGGTGTAGAGTGTCTGATTTTAGTTCCATGCATTCGACGACCAAACACTCAGCTGACCACTTAGAACGCTTGCGA